ATATATATCATATATATATATAAATATATATATATATATATATGTGTATGTGTATGTGTATATATATATATATAACAATACACATACACACATATATATATATATATATTATATAATATATAATATATATATATATATATATGATATATATCTATATGTATATATGTGTATGTGTATGTGTATATATATATATATATATAATATACACATACAAATACATATATATATATATATATATATATATATATATATATATATATATATATATATATATATATATATATATATTATATATATATATATATATATATATATATTGTCCCCGTATGCCTCAACAAAATGGTGTTGCTGAAAGAAAACATAGACACATTGTTGACACTGCTCGTACTCTTTGGCTAGATGCCAATGTACCTCCAAAATTTTGGGGTGATGCTGTTCTTACTGCCGGGTATTTAATTAACCGGATGCCATCCTCTGTGTTGAATGATCAGGTTCCTCATTCTTTAGTACACCCTGCAGATCCTTTATATGTTGTTCCCCTCATGTCTTTGGATGTACTTGTTTTGTTCATGATTTGTCCCCAGGTCAGGATAAAATGTCTGCTCGTGCCATCAAATGTGTTTTCCTGGGCTACTCCCGCGTCCAAAAGGGATATCAATGTTACTCTCCTTCTACACATCGTTTCTACACGTCTGTAGATGTTACATTCTTTGAGGACGTACCATACTTTTCCAACTCAGATGTTCCTGAAACTAATTTAGATCAAGTTTTGCCTATTCCTCATTTTGAGTCGAGTGAGTCCAGACCTTTATTGTCTAGTCCACCCATTGTGATAGAAGAGTCTCTACCACTGTTGAACCGATATGGCATTACCTATGAAAGAAGGTGAGACCACATGATTCAGCTCCTACTCCAAACGCCTCAACCCCTGCTTCGGCTCCCGTCTCCTGACTTGCCCATTTCCATTCGTAAAAGTAATCCTTCAGTGTAGTAAGACAGTTCTTGAAGATATCAGAGACTTGTAGGAAAGTTGAATTATCTTACCTTGACTAGACCTGATATATCTTTTCAGTCAGTGTAGTAAGACAGTTCTTGAATTCTCCTTGTGACAACCATTGGGATGCTGTTATTCGAATCCTTAAGTATATCAAAGGATCACCTGGAAAAGAGCTTGTTTTTTGTGATAGAGGCAACACTGATATCATTGGATATTCAGATGCTGATTGGGCAGGAGATGCAAGTGATAGGCGTTCTACATCGGGGTTATTATGTTTTTAATGGTGGAAATTTGATCTCATGGAAAAGCAAAAAGCAAACGATCGTTGCTCGATCAAGTACAAAAGCTGAGTATCGAGTCATGGCCCATGCCACATGTGAGCTTTTGTGGTTGAAGCATTTACTAAAGGAACATCATTTTTGTGAAGTTGGCCCTATGGAACTTGTATGTGACAACCAATCAGCTTTGCACCTCTCCTCCAATCTAGTTTTTCATGAAAGGACAAAGCATATAGAAGTCGACTGTCACTTTCTTAGAGAGAAGATTACTACCGGGACCATCAAAACCTCCTTTGTTATTTCAAGGATCAACTTGGTGACCTCTTTACAAAATCTCTTCAAAGACCTCGAATTACATATATATGTGACAAGATGGATGCTTACGATGTATATGCACCACCTTGAGGGGGGAGTGTTGAGATATTATTTTATTATTATTTAGTATCCATTGCTTTTATTATTAGTAGTATCATAAGATCGTAACAAAAATCGTAAGATACTACTAAAACATAGAATCATACTACATACTTGAACTATTTCTCCATGATATTTTCGTAGGCAAGTGTATTCGTGGGAAAATGTACGCCGCCGAACCAAATTGTTGCGCCTATGTATCTTGTCATCCTTCTCGGCCTGTAATGCGGTGCTGGAAAATGGTCGTTCGTGGCCGGAACTGGCCAAGATCGCACATAATCAATGTTTTTACCATTTTTTTATAATCTGACTGTAACACACGATTCTACTTATGATCTCCATCTCCATCGTCGGGGGTGTGTGGAGATCGTAAAATCGTAAGATTTTAAGATTTAAAATCGAGATTTTGATAACCATTTCCTCGTATAATATCTTTATTTGACTAGACAGTTTGATGCATTTTGTCATTTCAAATGAAACACTTCATATTATTATCTAGTTATCTTCGTTCTACTTACTCTCCCTACCTTCTCTTCCCTCTTCTACTTTCAAACTAGTAGCAATTTACAATTTCAAGAAAGTGTTGCAGAGAAAAGCCCATACAAACCTAAACGTAGCTCTGCTAATTTCAATCATCAAGCAGCAATGTCATAAATAATGGATAATGTGTTATTTGTTTTTTTATACATACATGCTTCCATGCCAACTAACAAGTAGAGATTCATTTCCTGTTCATAAATTTGTATATGCACAAAATGCATCTGTATTTTTTACAAGTTCTTCCGTTATTTAACTTCATTTCCATTACTTAACTTTATTTAGGCAGGGACTCAGTTTTGGGATGAGAAAGTTGCCAGCGACCTTGCCGAAGGCCGACTTGATGGTTTCAGCTTTTGACAGGTGAGTATAAGTATAGCAATGAAAATATATTTTGAATCAAACACCTAGTCTAATTAAAGAGTTCTTTTATTTTGATCCATTCAAGTGATATCAGTGTTTTGTTTAACCAATGGTTTAGGTACTGTATGGTACTCTTTGCTGGCATTGCAGCTGAAGCTCTTATTTATGGCGAGGCAGAGGGTGGAGAAAATGATGAAAATCTATTTAGAAGCATCTGTCTTCTTCTCGAGCCTCCATTGTCTGTAGCAGAGGTCTTTCCTCAACTGGTTGCTCTGGTTTGAAGTTGCCAGTTCTTTTCAGTGCTAACATTTTTAGTTTTTACCTTTCTTGCATTAAACAGATGTCTAATCAAGCAAGATGGTCAGTTTTGCAATCTTATAATTTACTCAAGATGCATAAATCTGCCCACCGAGCTGCCGTTAAAGCAATGGGAAAGCGGGTGGTAGCAGTCTCAGTGGTGTAATTAGGAGGATCGAGGAGACAGTGTATCGTGAAAAATAAACCTGGAAGTTTACATAAAAGAAACAAATTTTGTCTTGTAAGTTTCATGAGAGTTAGCATCTCTGTTGTTCTTTTAATTTGCTTGGTTTTTCCTTTTCCGAATCTTTCAAGTAATTTATTATGTTCATTTTCTCTTGGACAGGGTTATCGGGATACATTTGATGTAGAGCTGATTTTATTGGTCTTTATATATAACCATTGCATATCTGCAGATGCAAACATGTACTGGACCATGTCTACCATGACAGAATCTATCAAGTGAATCTATCAAGTGAATAATTTATGTTTCAGAAGGTGATAGTGTTGAAGTTGGTCCCAAAGTTACTCAACATGTTTAGATATGTAATATAATACTAGTGGAAATGGTCATTCAGAGAATGACAGATGAGTTTAGAGTGGTTCTTAGCCGTGCATAGGTTTTCTGCTACAAGTTATAGAAAATGGTTTGTAAATAACTATTGTCATTGATGGACAATCGTTTTTTTTTTACCATGTTCCATAATGTATTTATAACAACAAGCTATTAAGTCTCTTGTAGCAAGGGAATTGCTCTTTCCACTCTTAGGCGTGTGCTCCCCCACCACCATGAGAATTCATAAATGCTCCTAGTGTCTGGAGATGTATTTTCTAAAGCATTTTTTATACACATATTTTAGCATTTCGTAAGCGAGGACACTCTTATTTTGTCTAAAAGATATGTCCACTTCTGTAAAGTGTGCCACCCTTTAAAAATCTGTAGCAATTTTGGAAAGCTACCGAGAGACTTGTTAGTGTGATAAAAAATACCACAAACGAATAAATTTAAATTCATATTTATTTTTCTGCAATTAGTACTTTGCTATGAAAATTGAAAACCGATAATCTTAGGTTATTGAATGGATACACAATAGAGGCACATTGCCACCCACCACCACAAACTATGAAGGCACGTCACGAACAGAGCGTGAAAACGATGAAATGAGAAATTTTTAAAAAATAAAGTCATGTAGATAAAAATAAAGTCATGTAGATATTTGGTTTGAAGAGGTTCAACTTGAGAAATTTTTAAAAAATAAAGTCATGTAGATATTTGGTTTGAAGAGGTTCAACTTACTTTCTAGAATTGATTCAAAGGAAAGATTGTTGGATACAATTATTCAGTCGATCAATGGATAGTCAACCAGATGGAATGTCTTGGAGGATGTAGCATGGTATACGGATTAATTAAAAATAGTTATCAGAAGCATAGGGATTTAGAATTTAATTATGCAGTGTCCAGGAATTTTAGAATTCAATTTTACAGCGTCCAGATCAATAGGAATTGGTTTGAGAATATAGAGTCCGATAGAAATCTGTTATATGTGTGCGGCACACATGGCACTATCATGAAGGGACTTCAGTTATGGTAAATATGCTTTCAATAATTCTATGTGTGCGGCACACATGGCACTATCATGAAGGGACTTCAGTTATGGTAAATATGCTTTCAATAATTCCAGAGCATTGAAGCCTACCATAAGAGATGGAATCCTAACAAAAATTTTATGATATTGCAAGGTTTGAATCTCATATTGAATAATCATATGATATTGCAAGGTTTGAATCCCATATTGAATACTTACTACTATTATAGTTTGTTTATAATTATTGAAGCATTCCGTTGATTGGCCAAGTTCAAAAGAAAAATTAGGATTACGTAAATTTGTTATAGCAAATGTTGGTAGCAAACAAATATGAGTTACAAAATGCTTTGAGTTACTCACGATAATGAAGATTTTTTTTTTTTTTTGTATTTTGGAATGTTTTAGTATTATTTTCAATAATATTTGGAATATTATGGGATGTTTTTTTTTTTAATTAATGCATTATTTTATTCTATAATGTGCGTGTTTATTAATGTTTGAATCAAATTATGATATTGTTAGTCGGATTAAAATGACTTTGATTTTAAAAAATATATAAATTTAGGACAAAGTTTCTGCCAAAGATGCTTGCAGAGAAGTTTTTGGAGAAACATATCTAAAATAACGGTGTTTAAATAGTTTAAGATGCATTCATGGGTGTTTTAAAAGATGCATCTCCAAAATACCGATGACAATTTCAGATTTTAACGGTGTGAAGTACAAATGAGAAAAGAAATTCCCTAAATTTAAAGCATCTTAAAACTCATAAATAACAATTATTTTTGAAAACTGATATGCACAAAACTGAGATATAAAACTCCTACATAAATAAACATGCCAACCAATAATCTTTCAAGTTTGCATATGCCACATGTATTAGACTTTGTCTAGTGTAACAAAACCAATTAAATGAATGATATATATTTCAGTTGGTGAGAATATTGTAAAGTTAATTTTCAATGAGACATATCTTTTGATTAATTGTTAATCATCAAGACCATTTTTCTAAAAGAGATAAAAGTTTTTTGTATGTGTGAGACAATGACAAGGTCGTCGAGTGACTCTAGTTAGGATAAATATGGTTCCAACAATTTCAAAGCATTGAAGCCTAACAAATGGAATCATAATAAAATTATATTATGCTATAGTAAGGCTTGAATCTCACATCGAATAATTAATACTATTATAATATCTTCATAATTTATCGAAGCATCCCATTGATTTGACCAAATTTAAGAGTTTCAAATTTGAATGAATTTGTATCGTGAAACTATTGTATATGGTCTTTTATATCAACAATTTTGTTTGTATTAAAAAGTTGATAAGTTTAATAATGATGCAAATCTTGGTAAAAATATGAGATTAAAGGAAAAACTACAGAAAAATCAGATGCAAGAACAAATGGTACCTGCAAAATGTGCTAGTTTAACACATGATAAAAGATTTTATATGTCATATATAATCTAAGAAAAAGAACGAAATCATTTATGGAATGCATTTATTCCTATATGGATGTTTTATAGTATTTATGGTTCATAGTTTTGAGCTAATTTCATTGTTTTAATGACAAAAATATCAGAGAAAAGTGTAGCTTTAAAACTATATTTTCTCTTTATTTCAAGCTATAAGCAAAAGTAAGAAATTAAGCCCACAGTGAATATTTGCTACCATTATAACATGTTTATAAAGTATTGAGGCATGTATTATGATTGCCAAATTCAAGAGATTCAAAACTCAAACAAACTCAAACTTTGAAACTATTGAGTCTGGACTTTTTTATTTTCACTAATTATGTTTTATTTTTACAAACAATTTATTTTTTAACAATATTGTATTTAAATATACGATTTATCTATAAATCATTTTTTGTCAAATTATTTTTAAAGTTACACCAAAAATATTATGTTTTAGTTTTACTTAATTATGATATTTGAGTTATCTATATTTTATTATTTATGATTTTACTTTATTTACAAAAAAATATTATATATTAAATTATTATTATTATTTTATTTTATTTCTGGAGCCAAAACTAAGGATATTTTTGTAATCTTAACCATTATTTATTTTATTATTATTTGTTTTATTTACTTTGAATTGTATCCATTATTCATTTATTTATTAGTTGTTTTATTTAATTATTTTATTTTATATTAACACTTAATATTTTTTCTAACCACTCTACTCTTTCTAAATCTCTCTCCACGTTTTCTTTTGTAAAAATTTTCAGATGTCCTAATTCCACTAATATAAACTTTTCAATATATTTATTAGTTGTTATTTATTACTCTTAGAACGTGGTTTTTATTTTATTTTATTATATATTTATTTTTTAATTTAAATTTTGTATGTAACTGCTCCACAAAAACGACCACTATAAATAGTGTGGTTCAACATCATGTCAGTATATATGGATACTTCCCATTAACTTATATTAAAGAACACTTCAAAATCTTTTGCATTTACATTTCTCTTTGATAAGATTTCAGTTTTATGCTACTAAAAGATTTTTACTAGCTAAAAATTTCATATGTATCGATTTGTGTTTATTGCTCCTTGGTCGTATGAGTGCATATTATGTTAAATTGTAATTCGATTGTGTCGAAACAGTGTGTGTGTCGAAGGGAGGTTGTCCAATCGAAGAGCTTGTGGATCGAAACAAATTACACACGGATTTGATTTGTTTTAGATTTAGGTAAATTTGATTTAGATCTAAAATAGATAGATTTGATTTAATACCAAAATAAGTATTTTGGGCTTTTATAGTTTTGGACTTTGGCTTAGGGAGCAAGCTAACCTAAATCTATAAATAGAGGGAGTAACTTTCAGATGTCCTAATTCCACTAATATAAACTTTTCAATATATTTATTAGTTGTTATTTATTACTCTTAGAACGTGGTTTTTATTTTATTTTATTATATATTTATTTTTTAATTTAAATTTTGTATGTAACTGCTCCACAAAAACGACCACTGTAAATAGTGTGGTTCAACATCATGTCAGTATATATGGATACTTCCCATTAACTTATATTAAAGAACACTTCAAAATCTTTTGCATTTACATTTCTCTTTGATAAGATTTCAGTTTTATGCTACTAAAAGATTTTTACTAGCGAAAAATTTCATATGTATCGATTTGTGTTTATTGCTCCTTGGTCGTATGAGTGCATATTATGTTAAATTGTAATTCGATTGTGTCGAAACAATGTGTGTGTGTGTGTCGAAGGGAGGTTGTCCAATCGAAGAGCTTGTGGATCGAAACAAGTTACACACGGATTTGATTTGTTTTAGATTTAGGTAAATTTGATTTAGATCTAAAATAGATAGATTTGATTTAATACCAAAATAGGTATTTTGGGCTTTTATAGTTCTGGGCTTTGGCTTAGGGAGCAAGCTAACCTAAATCTATAAATAGAGGGAGTAACCCCTAATTTTGTAATTAAGTTAATTCATTGTAATCACAGAATTTGCATTTGCAAGTGATTAATAAAGTTTTCCACAGTTTATGGGCAAAGAGAAACTCTGCAGAAAATAATTGTCTTCTTTCTTTTCTTTTCTTTTCTCATAATTCATTGTCATTGTGTGGTGATATCAATCTTTTTTGTTAAGATTTAT